TTGCTATGTGATTCAACAATTTCATTAACAGCTATGCAACCAAATGTGTTGAAAACAGGGGCTCAGATATTTATATATCTGTGTTCATGGTATTATTATTTAAAGTGTCTAAAAGATGTGTGCATTGTAAGCATTCATCTGGATAAACCAAAAGTGTTGTGTAAATTTAATGGAATATTAGTTAGACTAAACATAATTAAATCTGATATATGCTTGTAACATGGTGAAAAGTCCAGTTATGTTAAGGGGAGTAACTCAGTCACAGAAGAGCAGCTAGTGCATGACTAACTCATGTAAATACCTAGATTAGTCAAGTTCATTAAGACTTGGTGGTTGTCGGGGCCTTGAGAGAAGGAAAACTGGGAGTTAATTGTTTAGTAGACACAGTCTCAGTTTGGGAAGCAGAGAAGGGTTCTCGGTGGTGACCCTGGCTACAAAACTGTAGATATTATTAAAGCAAGAAGTACATTTACATGTGCTAACAATGGCAAAGGCCGTGCTATATGTGGCACCAAAACGAAAAATACCATGTAAGTATGCTGGTTATCCAGCAGAGTTTGGGTTGGGAATGTCTCCCAGAGGCCCACATATGAAAGATGTGGTCCCCAGTCTATGGCGCTGATGGATGTGGTAGAACCTTCAGGAGATGGGCTCTCATACAATGAAGCTAGGTCATTAGGAGTGTGACTTTGGGGACGTCAGTCTCTGACTCTCACCTTGTTACCCTCTGATGATCTGTGATGTCATAGGCCCAAAGCAATGTAGCCAAGTGGCTACTCATAGAACCTCGGAAACTTTGAGTCAAAATAAACCTTTACTCCTTCAAGTTGTTTAGCTTATGTGCTTTGTCACAGAGAGTGATGGAAGGAAAGCTAATTCCATCTCACCTTTGGGGATTGGTCCTAAGGCTATTCTACATATGTTAAAAAGATAGGTATATTGACAGGACGTTTGTAGAAATTGTATTTACAAAAGATTGGAAACAATTCAAATGTTTATCAACAGAAAACTGAATAAAGAATGACAAGATATTCCTAAATGACTGGTTCATCTTCTTTGAGTATATGTGAATGAAGAATTCATTAGGACCAGTAGAGGCTGGTACTTAATTAATGTGAAAGTACCCACAATCTTAATCATGGCAGTTCAATGAGAAAGGCAATTACCTTTTGGAACAGACATTAGAAAACAAAGACATTCCATAGGACTTAGTTCTTATGACTTTTCTTTGCATTCTTCATATTTCTACAATCCCTAGACTATTCCCAAAGCCCAGTCTACCCTTTGGCACAGATTAGGAATTCAGAATTATGAACTTTGTTATTTTTCTCATTTGTAGACCCAGACAGATTGAATTAAGAGGATTTTGGGGAAGTCATTCGTAACAGCTCAGTGTCCACATCTGAGCCCAGAACTTTCATTTGGAGCTAGGTGTGGCGGCAGACACTGTAATCCCAGTACTCAGGATTAGGAGCTCAAGGTGAGCCTGGGACAGTGTTTCCAAACAGAGTGACAGAAAAACCTCTAAGTTCAGTTAAGGGATTAAAAACCAACCAACCAACCAACCAACCAAACAAACAAACAAAAAAACCCCAACTTTAAAAAAAATGTACTCTAGTTTAAGAGAACATAATATAACAAGAAAATCACTTAATATTTTAAGCCGGGCGGTGGTGGCGCACGCCTTTAATCCCAGCACTCGGGAGGCAGAGCCAGGCGGATCTCTGTGAGTTCGAGGCCAGCCTGGGCTACCAAGTGAGCTCCAGGAAAGGCGCAAAGCTACGCAGAGAAACCCTGTCTCGAAAAAAAAAAAAAAAAAAAAAAAAAATCACTTAATATTTTAAACCGCCCACATCTGAGTATAAAGCTGTCATTAAATGCAGGGCCAGGATCCAGAATGAAACAAAACAAAGCGGCTTCCTTGTGTAGTCTACTTAAAGAGAGTGAGAGAGATTATCATGTGAAAATCACCTAAACCATTTTTTACAGACAAGCACATTCAGTAGGAAATAGAACAAGGGGGAGCAGACTGGTAACTAGTGAGGGACCTCACAGGCTCAATGACAGGAGCTAGATGCATTTCATTACACTGTGCCAGAATATAATCCTCCCAGCTCTCTCCCGTGTTCATGTGAGTGACACACAGATCCAGCCTGGGCACTTCAGGGTTTGGGGGATTGTTGCTTTTTGGAGTTCTGAAGTCTCAAGGTGGGTGGATGGTGACTTTGAAGGACTAGGAATCAGCTTAAGGCCTTGACCCTCTCTGGTGGAAGCACTTCTGGCCTCAAAGCCAGGACCTCTCTGCCAACTCTCAGCTCACCTCTCCAGGACTCACAGTTGACCCATGAACTAGGAGAGATCAGCTGAAATCCCTTGTCACATTTACTGAGTCTTATTGATTATTGTCTACATATTGCCACACACAGGAGCACACACCGAACGCACGTGCATGCACGCACACCCACATTCCCATCCTGCTCCTCCTTTAGCATGTGAAGAGCTATTTCTAGCTTCCTGGGATAAATTCCTTCATTGCTTTCTAAGTATCATGCCACAGGCAGACACTTGGGTCTAGTCCTTACCAGATCCTCACACTCACATCATCATCAACACATACTTCTTTCCTGGACGTGTTAGCTTTTTACTGTACTGTAGGACTGTGAGTCGACTTAACTCCATGGGCCTTCGATGGAGGTGGGGTGGGGGTGGGGAGGCTGGGTTAGAGTGTCTTAAACTTCTTTCATCTTGCCCCACAGTAAGAAATTTTTACATCATGACAAGGTTCACACAAAAACATAACTGACAAATGGTTTTGTAAAACCATGTCATGCTCACTAGTAATGATGTGCTGAGGTTTTTTGTAATGGTTGATTTTTATTGAGCTAAGAGTCATATAACATGAAATTTACTAGTTTTATCATTTTAGAATCTACAGCATTAGATTTGTAATGTACAGCCGTTGCTGGTAATTTCAGAAAATTTTATCACCCTGGAAAAAAAAACCATGCCCATTATGTTAGTCATTCCTGCTCCTAATATGTATAGTGTGTGTG